TTTTTTTTTTTTTTTTTTTTTTTTTTTTTTTTAAATAACAAACCCGTACATTTAGATACAATTTAGAAGAAAAACAGCACTGGAAATTAGCAACCGGTATGAAATATTTCCAGTTCTCAACAAAATATTCAAACCCAAAATATTTCTGCTGAAACCACTTGGAGGAGGTGGCTGTCTGCAATCACAGGAGTTGCAGGGCAAATATGTATCATGGGCGATACAGTCATGCACAAACAGTGAGAATGGGGAAAGCAAACATGCTTTTGCACAAAACCCCTTTTATCTTCAACCTTTCTTCACCGCCAAAATAGTTTTGATGGAAAAACAGTGCCAGGCTTTCTTTAGAAAATATCTTATAAATTATCTTTCTTCAAAAATTATCTTTCTTCAAAAATTATCTTTCTTCAAAAATTATTAATCACAATTAATTCAAGATCCAGCAGATCAGCCCAAAATATTATTTAGTTACAACATTTAACAGGGTTTTTTTTTGTGTGAAGTTTCTGTTCTGCCCCACACTAAAGAAGAGATCTTTTAAGAACTGTCCATCAATCCCCATCCCTCACTTTCCATGGTTTCATTGCACATTAAGGGCATTCATGATAAAGTCATGTCTGGAATCACTTTGCCTTTTTTTTTTTTTTTTTTTTTTTTTTTTTTCAATCACTAAGATGAGGAAAAATATAGATAATCTTTATATTAGCACCATTTTACAGCACCACAACTGGAGAACACGAAAAGCCAAATTACACTAGAATTTTTGGCATTTCCCATTTCTGTCATTACCACTCACTCCCCACAAATTACATCTATGAGCTATTAAAAGGTACTTACACTCTCATAATAAAATGTTCCAAAGATCTTTCCCTTACTGTACAAGCAGCCAGCTGGGCACAAATACCTAATAAAGATACATATCTTTGAGGGTGGCGAAAAAACAATTCAAGAAAAACAGATTTTGACTCTATTTCATTTAATAGTCATTCCATTCATTACACGCAACTCTTCCATTTAAAAACAAGATTGCAAAATAGCTACTTTTTAAAACAGTTTCTCCACCCTCCTTAAAAGCCTGACCAATATTTAGATTCTGTGGATTTGATTTTTCTCCAAGTGATAAACTGTCCTGTTCTTTGCAGAAACCTTAACCAGAAGTTCTCGACTGGCTGGGAGGGGACAAGCCATGAATTATTGGTCTGTCTTGGACAGCAATGGAATGCACGAAAGGCTCAAAAATTACTCTGCCCAAATTTATTAAATAATTTTGGATACCTGAAGCTGTGGGTCATCGTGGCTGAGTAAAATAAACTGAGTCACCTTATTGCTAGGCTTGGCTGAAGGGTTTGTATCAAGGCCTTTTTTTAAAAAAAAATAATAATAAAAAAATCTACCTAGATAGTCACAAAAAATAGTGTAGCCTATACTACATTTGCAAGAACTGGACAACTTTTAGGCCACTTTTTCCCACAGGGCTCCAAGAGGGATCAGTAAAACAGTACCTGTTGCATGTCGAGCCTCTGCATTTGTCTCTCATCTTGGTTTCACAGGTAATAACTTGCGCTGGGGAGAAAAAAAGAAAATAAATATTTTAAAAAGGAAAGAGACTGCCACAGCCTGCTCTCCAGCTACGGCGCATCTTTCCTGGAGGTCTTTGGTGCAGCAAGATAAAATCTTATCACAGACCAACCCAGCCTGGAGCAGTTCATGGCTCTTTAGCCCTTCACCTGAGACAGGTGTCTTTGGAAATGACTGCAAGGAAGAAAGATCTGACAGCTGAAGGCTTTGATTTACAGCCCCAGGTCTGCAGGCAGAGCCTCTCATTCTCCCTTTAATTACAGACTCTCGAGATGCTGGTAGATAAACTTGAAAAGGATGCAATGGCTTGCCTCACCTTGTTTTCACAATAAGTCTCTTTTAATTAACAGTGATTAGAAAACAACTGAGGAAGTACTAACAGCCCCACAACTAACTGCAGAAATCTTCCCAGGCAAGAAATAAAAAGCAACTCATCTAAAAAAAAAAAAAAAAAATGCTGCAAAGGGGGTAACTGCTGAGTGTGGAGTATTTTAAGTGGGAAATAAAACCAGTATTTCCAACTGATAACCGATCAGGGGACCTTGGGTTCATCAGTATGTCCTTGAGATGGCTGAAAAGAACAAATAACTATTGCAGATTGACATGCAGAAGGCACGAGTGGCTTTGGAAAGCTTTGCTTCCCCGCTTCTGGCAGGCTTCTGCTATAATGAACAGCTAATTTTCACACAGATTTACCTCCCCCTCCACTCAAACATCCTCCCAGTTGATTTTTTTTTTCCCCTGAGCCTTCTCATGGCTTTCCAACACCTTTTCTCATAGAGGAACTTAAAAACTTAGAGGAGGAGCTGAAAAAAAGAGACCGTCTTACTCATGTAGGAATCTGGGATGATTTTCTTGGTCTTGATGGATTTGCTGGGCTTGCTTTCCGGAGGGTAGAACCTCACTGGCTTTTGCTCTGCCACCTGCGAAATCTCCACTTCGTTAGTCTCATCCGTCTCGGTGATGACGGGATCTTCGTAACGATAATCTTGTTTGAAGAGGGGATTAAAAATAATTACAGCATGTTCACGTTGATGGGGAAGCCGGACGGGTTCGTATTTTGCGGGAGGTGATTTGGTTTGACAAGGATCTGCACTGCAATAGTTGGAAGCTCAAAAATGCCGAGGCTATTGCCAGGGCAGGCAGGGCACCGGGAGGGGAGAGTGCTCCTCTCCGTGCACCAAGTGGCATTTAGAGCATCTCACAATAAAGGCGTGAAATGATCCCCACTAATTAATGAAAAAAGTGCTGACATTTCTTCACCTGTTTCACATGCAGCTCTTTTTCTCTGGAGGAAAACACAAATCTGCTGAAGGGCAGGTGCAAAAAGAAGGCCCTAGAGTTTGGGAAGGTGGCTGACACTTCTCCTCCTCCCACCGGGGTTTGCTTCTCCAAATGACCCCATGAGCACAGCTCCAGCCCACGCCCCGGCAAAGCACAGGTCCTGCTACCCTGGGATCCCGGCTGTAGCGCCTGCGGTGGGTTCATCCCTCACTTTACCTCCTCCAGAGAACAAGCTGCCTGCCCTTGCAGCCAGGCAAAGGGATTTGGTGCCAGCAAATTTCATTCCTCTCGGCCAGTCCTACCCAAAACCCTGCACCGCTCTCATCCTCTGAGGAGAGGAAGGAGGGAAATCAAGGGATGATGGATGGTGGCTCTGAGAGGGCTCTTTCCCTCTCGCTGTACCACCGGGGCATCCCCTCCCCTCTCTCCTCTGCAGCCCACCTGCACCCTGGGGTCCTGCCCCCAAACCCCACAGGCTAAAAAATAAGAAATGCAGTGTTGCAGCAGAACAAGCCTCTGCTTTGGGCAAGTCTCCAGGGAACCTGCCTGTTTCTAAGAGCCCAGTTCTCTGCGAACCAAAACACACGGGAGAAGAAAAACGCCCTTACTACATGACCCCAGAAAATCCTGCGTGCCGTGGGGATGGCACAGCTTTGCTGGAGGTTGCAGCGTGGATAATATTTTCCATGCTATTGATCTCTATTCCGAGAAAACTCCACGGGTCGGGAAAAACTGTCCGTGATCCCCTCTCCTCCAAGAGACACGAATCGCTCTATTCATTTCGCAGCAGTGAAAAACCAAGGTGGGGAGAGAGGGAAACGCTCCGTGCCTGGCCCCCGAAGGAGCGGGGCAGGCGGCCAAGCTCTGCCCACCCACGTCGCCTCCGCTAAGCGCTGGAGAACATTCCCTTCCCAAACTAACCCCGCGAGGCCGGGATCGCTCCTGCCCGCAGCCTGCCAGCTCTCAAAACCCCGCCGGGGCTCCCGAGCCAAACCCATGGAAGCTCCGAGCAGCTCCTTCCCCCCGTCCAAACGCTCGCTCTCATTCTCACTGGGGAAAAACGCGTCGAATCCGAGCTCCAGATTTTTAAGCATTTCGGGGCTTTTTTTGGTTTCAGCAGCAGCCACTGATTTACCGCGTGTCACGACGGCGAAATATTAAGGATGACTAATTAGAAGGTGCATAAAGCTGCGGCTGCTTCTAATTCGAAGTTTCCAGGCATAAGTCTGCTGCAGCCTTTTCCCCCACTCAGGAGGGTGCCCCACGCCCCCCCTCCACATACCTTTGTAGCAGAGGTTGTTCTGGCAGCCTCCTCCGTAGCTCGGTGGGCACTCGGAGCAGGGGCGGCCGGTCTTGTATGGGGCTTCTCCTATCCAGTTGCCTCTGCGAGCACAGGGGCAACACGCACCCATCAGACACCCGAATACTCATCCAAACCCCAAGACTGCCTAGCACGAAGGGAGCGGGGAAAATGGGTGTTTCTGCTGCACTTGGATGGGGGGGCTGTAAAATGGGGAAAAGACGACCTGTCCCCACTCTTTCCATCCCCACGTTTGTTCTCCAGTGATAGCTCAGCAGCGTTCTGCCTCTACGTGCCTGACACTTGCCTTCACCTCTCTCGTTCGTCAGAGCCACAAGACTCCCACCATTTTCTGCAACACCCCAAGGAGCCGTCTGGGACAGCCTAGAGCACAGCTCTTACCCTTTAAAAGCTGATCCATTTTCCACCTGCAACCATTTCCAAACAGAAAAAAACACCAGACTCTCACTCATGCCAGATCATGTGGGAAGTGGAGCAGCACCTTGCACTCTCCCCTTACCCAATCTGGCCATCCTCAAGTCCCCAGTTTTGCCTCTGAGGCTGCAGAAACATCATCCTGGCCCAGAGCAACCAAGCAAATGCTAAACAAGCAGCCTAGGAAAGCCTTTTAAGAAAAATGTTCCTCCTCATTTCACCTCCAAGAGGACACTTTTAGGGTTTTACTGAAATAAATTGCGTACGGTGTCACTTTTACGTTAAACTCCAATATAAATACTGCGATCATATAAAAAGAAGTAAATCAATGGATTACTGCATTTTTCTCAAGAAACTACCCAGAAACAAAAGCCCCGTTTGGCGCTGTACTGCAAACTTTAGGGGCTGAGAAGGTTGAAGGAGCCAGAGTTCAGGCCATGGCTACGAACTCTTTGGCTACTGCTCTTTCAGCTGTCTCCACCTATAAGGCTAGATGAGGACAATGCGCACTGATGCCAGAGCAAAAAGATTAACAGAATCTGCAGAAATAGAGTATTTTTCCATCCAGCAGCCCTGAATGGATGACGTGCAAACAGCCCAGCCTGCTGCAGGAGCTCCATGAGAGATGGCGCGATCCCATGAGAAGAGCAGGTTATTAAATCCCACTAAACCACAAGCAGAATGTGCTCAGTAGTTAATGTGGGGAGAGGGGCTTAGGCAAACCCCCTGCAGGGCTCTGCCTGGATCGTGCTATCGGCTGTGTCCCCGCACATCTTATCTCCCTGCGTCATTCTGCCCTGTGACCTCCAGGAGACAGACACTTCCCAAGCCACTCCATTTATATATATCGTGATTTCTCTATTTTGCTTTGTCGCTAAGATTTAAATCACCAAGGACTGGGAATGTTTCTCCTATTAGCCATTAAAGCAGAAAATACTAATTGTCATTGCCAGGGAGGAAACTTCTCCTGGATGTAGCAGTCAAGAAATGGGATTTTCACTTTGAAATTTAATCCAACCATTGAGTTAACTGCATCAGTCAAGATTTAGCTTCTTTTTTTTTTTTTTTTAAGAATGGGGAGCTCGTTGGGTCTGGGATTTATCTCTTCGCAGCTCCTTGCAGCGGGCCCCAGCTCGCTTCGCTCCCACCAGCCGCTGCTGCAGGGCTGGCTCTGCACGAAGCAGTGGTGTGTTCAAACCAGCAGATTTAGCAGGGGGAGGGTGAAAACATGTCATGATACAGCAGCCTACCTGGGCTGGGCACAGAAGCTGAGCAGCATTAACCACCACCCCATCCCCTCCCACCCTGCGAGCGGCCGAGAGCGAGGAAGCCTGGCTCGGCAGCCAGGCCAGCTCCGTCCTGGCCATCTGCTCCTCCTTCCCATGGCAGCGACATCAAAGCTCCAGCCTGGCCCCAGCCCCTCATTCAGTTTTCCAGGCAATGCTCAGAAGTCTTGAACTAGCTCTGCGCTGCCGTCTAAAGAGAAAATTTAAAGCCACAACCATCAGTCTAGACTGCCTGAAATCTCTTCCCCAGATCCCGGGCTAGTTAAGCAACCTGCCGGTTTTAGGAAAGCTGGAGAGAGTCCAGCTCATCCGCCTTACTTCGGCGAGTAGTTGCAGACCAGGTAGACAGCATTCTCCCAGATTTCTCCCCAGACATTCATCTGCTTGCAGACGTTCACGGCACAGCCAATCTTGTTCGTCGTGGCCCAGACTATCTGCAAGTGCAAGGCGGTTATTGAAAATGGGGGAACTACCCCACTGTGGGCAGGCGTTGCAGCCACAGCCGGGACGTGGGGGGATGCAGAGATTGGAGGTACAAAAGCCCTTCATCTCCTTTACCTGGGTGTAATGTGTGCACATAGAGCCGGTGCATTTCTCCGGGCACCACGGGTTGCACTCGTGAGGATACGGGTATGTGTAATCTTTAACTTCGTCATACCAAGACTGGACATGGAAAGCTGGAGAGCGATACCTGAAGGAGGAAAGACAGTTTAAATCACAATGTTCTGGTCGGAGTTTTCAAACAATACCTGTAGCTTCCTGCCATGTTGTAAACCCAGATTTTTTTTAATGCAAGTTTTGCTAATTTTTATATAAGTTTGTTAAGGCAAGTTCCATTCATTGAGAAGCTGTTGCCTAAAGAACCGAGTAACGTGGTCTAACGAACAGGGGAAAAAAAAAAAAATCTAATTGGAAACGTTAAAGATGACTTCTTCCCTAAGATTCACAGCCTGGTCTGACTTTCTGTATTATTTATAGGTTTGACATGCCCTTCAAGTGCCGCTGACCTGAAACGTCCTCCTGACTTTTCCACACAGCTACAGAAAAACCTTCTAGTTTGGCGGAAAACTGTATTTTGAAAGTAAACAAGAAGTTAAGGTTTGCCAAACATCTTCAACCAAAAGCCATCGTGTACCTATTTTACCACCAGGCGATCTGCTAAATCTGGAAGTACACTAGCAGTCAGTACCGTAAGACCTTTGAAAGGGAGTGGGCTTCACGCTCACACCAAGAGCTGGTGCACGACACCCCCCCCACACCTTTTACTGAAGCAATTTCCCTCTGCACCAAGACGCTGCGTGAGCTTTGTGCAAACCCTGCACCAGATCTTGCAGTCTGTGGCAGCCCTGATGCTACTCGTGCTGTCTGGGGCAACACACGGGGTGTTAAAACTACCTGTAGGAACTCAGACGCGTTTTGCATACACCGAGAGCAAACGGAGCGTTCTGCAGATTCTGTATCGAAGCAAAGCGGCGCTTCAAACCCAACCACTTTTTCTTGCTTTCAACAGCTCACACGAAGCAAGCAGCCAGAGGTACAAATGATACCATTACCAACTGGAGTTTGCTCTTTCAGCCAACTCTTCATTTAAAATCGTTCATTAGAGGTATTTTAGAAACGTTAATCTCATGATGTCATTAAGTGAATACTTTCCGAATCCTATTTTACGGGAGAGGAAATTGAGGCAATCAAGTTATGGCCCGTTCCTGAAAAAACTGAGATAAATGCGATTTCTTTTTCCTCTCAGTGACTGAAAAGGGAGCAAGATTGGATCTACTTCCATCAGTAACCCACGGCCATCCTGAGCACTTGTAGAAGAGCCAAGAACAGCACGATCTGTTGATTTTGTTTCCAATGGATTAACCATTCTACTTTCCAATCATTATTTAATCCTGCCAACAAAGATGGGCTCGATTTTTATATCGGGCTAATTTCACACCAGCAAATTTCCATTGCTTTCAACCAAGTTCTAGCTGATTTACAACAAACATAAATGCATTTCCACCCATTAGGGCTCCTGAGCACGTACAAAAGGTTTACTCTACAAAGCACGCTTAACTTACAACAGGCTTAACAATAAACAAATTTCACCATGAGATGGAGAGGCAAATCCATTCGGAAGCCTTAATGTCAACTTTCCTAGCTGGGTTAACAGCTCTAGGTTGAAAGCCTTCCCCAGGAAGTTGAAAACAAAAATCTGCAAAGTGTTTTCAGTAAACAGAGATTAGAAGCTGGATAAATATTTATGAGAAATACAACAAGAGATAATTAAGTTCTGAACTAGCAGCTGAGTCCAGACGTTGTTCCTGAGAAACTTCAGCTTTCAGCCGGTTCTCCGCACGGTGCCAGAAAGCCCCCTGAAACCACAGATTTAGGAGCTGGGTTATGGCTTCTGAAACGCTTTCCTTAAGGAGTAAGGGTGACCTTGAGCACTTTAAAGCTGATTTACCCAGATACATCAATCCATGGAGCAACCCACATCAGCGGTGGTTTGCTGGGAACAGTCAGCTGAAGGTGGCTGTGGATGGTTTTGCTATAACCATTTCACCACAGCAATAGCAATTCAGCTTTTCCCCGTCTCTCCAGTGCTCTAAGCATCAGCAAGGCAAACCTTTCCAGCTGGTTGTAAAGGAGGATCAGTGAACGGCTCTTTACAGTGAGTTTGTAGCACCTCAGCTCTTACCTGCCCCAGTGAACCGCCAAGTTCTGTCCAATTGACCTGATGAGGGCACTAGGCCCATGGTCCCAGATGCACTGCTGAGCCCAAGCGTGGGCTGATCTTTCCAGCTCATCATCCCAGGTCTGCAGGGTGTGGGGAGAGAAAAGAACGGGTGATTCATCATCTCAGGCTTACTAGATCAAGAGACTCAACCAACAGCAGTTAGCAAAGAAAGACTAAATTGCAGCTCACCCCGGTGTCTGGCCTGTCCTTATGAAAGCAGCACATCTCAGTGATGTGCCCTAACCCAAAAGCAAGTTTCTCGAGATGTTCCCCTGCCATGGAAATGCAGGGCACTAAAGGGTCTATTATTTCTCCTCCTTGATGCCATGGTTCTTAGGAGATGCTTTGCATAGGTCAGCAGAAAACATACCTGGGGGGATCTTAAGAACCCATCTGACTGTCCACGCTAAAACACAAGATACTCTTAGCAGGTGTTTTTCTAATCTGTTCAGAAAAAAAAAAAACAACCCAAAACAACCAAAACCATCAAGGGTGGAGATCCCAGCACTTCCTCGTAGCACCTATTTCAGTGAGCCGACATGCAGTCAGTGCTCTGATGTAGTTCGGCGTGATTTTCCATCCATTGTCCTTCCTATCAGGACATTTCCATCAAGGGGAACTCCAGGAGTGGATGTGTTCCTGCCCTCCACTGCCAACACACCTGGAGATTTTTTGCCCAACCTCTTAATCAAAGGATGTGGGTCTGAGCCTCCTGGTCCCATCTCCCTTTCTCCTTCCAGAATAACTGTTGAGTCCTCCAATGGGTCCAGTCAAGCTTAACAGAGGTGGCAAAGTCCCAGGGCTGTTAAGCCAACGTGACTCTCACTGAAACACATATCAAGTGTCAAACCCCGTTCATGTTTCCACTGAGGGAAGGATATTGGTGTGAGATCAGTTCTCCTTGACTATCACCCATCTGTAAGCTAAACGAGAGCTCAAACGTGATACAAAGGCAAATAGGAAAGCGGGTTTCATTGGCTCCACTGCCCAGGTGTGTACTTGTTTGAAAGGCCAAACTTGCTGAACCCAGTAGACAGTGACCTGAATTCATTGTGTAATAACTGATGGTTGGTCTATTCAGAAAGTCCTTAGAGAATAAATCGTTGGGATTAAAATATTACCGCACATTCCTACAAATAAAACCAAAAGGAAAAGAGGTCTTGTAATGTGTCTCCAGCCCGTTCATGTGCCAGTCCAAGATTATGTCCTCTTTGGAGGATCACAGCCAGCTGGTCTTTCCAAATACCATCATCTCCAGAAGAAAAGCATCTTCTGATCTCAAACATCTCAAAGGACGTGTCAGAGCCCGTTTGGAGGACTAGAGGGCATTTAGGCTTTCAAACACATTTAAAAAAAAAAAAAAAACAAAAAAAAAACCAAACATCAAGTGCTCATTCTGAGTAAGTATCTGAACACAGTCTCGGGCAGTTGTAACTGGGATGGGGACGGACTGCGTGTCCCTGGCTGAGACGACAAGAAAATGCCGTGTCTCCTGGAACCTGGTGTGTCTGCCCCATCTTCGTAAGGCAAACATGAGCTCATCTAACTGAGCTAACAGCGCAGACCTCCAAGAACAGCTTATCATCAAGCATGCTCGGCAACCCAAATTCCAACATCCCAGAGCTGCTCTGACCTCATCAGCTTGGCTTTGAACTGACCAGTAGCCAAGCAAATTCATGTCAGTCTGCAAAACCCTGTGCAGACAGAGCTCTGAACAGAGGGAATAAAAATCATTTTCCGACTCAGCCCTCCAGCTCCTGGAAGGTGTATGGGATCTGACCCACCACACACACACATTTCCAAACCTCTCTTCGAGCAGACTATTGCAATTGTGCCTAGACACAGTTTTTTGTGGTCTCCCACTTTCTGCACTAGGCAATGACCAGCCCGCAATCCACCTTCCCATCCAACGCAGCAGCCACAAAAACTCTCCCAAGACGTTACGCGCTGTTCGTACTTCAGACTTTACAGCAGAGCATTATTCCCTGCAGCCTCAAAGGCAAAGATGTTCCAAATCTCCTAATTTAATGCAGAGATATTATGAGCAATAGGCCATTAAGTGAAAATTGATGTGAACATATGCATTATATCTTCCTTTGATGCCTACGGATAAAATAAATTAACTCGGACAAAAGATATTCAACAGGCAATTGGGAATGAGCTGCATCTTTGCATGGCTTTGTGTTTGATGAGTAGAGAAGCTCATTACTGCAGGCGTCAGATTACAAAGCCATCCCATTTAAATTAGAGCAGTTATTTGCCTCTTGCTTCTCAGACGTGAATGTGGTCAGGAGGCTGGAATTAAAAAAAAAAAAAAAAAAAAAAAAAGATATTTCAGACTTTCCCAGCTATGCTTGCAAGAATTCTTTATGCCAATATTCAAAGCAGTATTTAGGAAGACTACTGGAGAGACAGTGTACACCTATGCTCATTTTCCTTCTCAAGCGGAGATTGAGAAGCCTTCAGGTATGTGGGATCCCAAGTGATTTAGCACATGGACTCTCTTTTTCACTCCTGCAAATTTGCAATGGCCTTTCAAACTACAGTATACCCTGTATGTGTAAAATACATGCACGGATACACACACTATGCTCCAATTTGTAGGTTCAGATTTAATAATAATACACCCCACAAGGAGTCTACTTAGCCTAACTAGTCTGTAAACCTAACCCCAGACACCTGAATTGCAGCGATCACGTTATTCATTTTTCTCCACAGCTTAGACTTTGTGCAATACTGACAATTTACTTTTAAAAGTTCCACAAGAGTCTAGGACTGACATGTGCTGGCAGAAGCTTGGCTATGCTTTGCTAACCCACACAGAAATACCGTCCCACCCCGACAAGGAAAGTCACCACCATAGTTTAGAGGAAGGATGCGTACCTTATACATGAAAAATAACGATTTACCTTCCAGCAATCTGTACTGAGAACGACTTAGTTTTATCCAGCTGTCTTTGAGGCCTCCACAAGAAGAAAGATTTCTGCCTTTCATCACTGCTGGAAGCCATCTGACTAAGCCATCCTAACAGGCCAAGATGTCTCAGGAACTATTATGTCGTTTTTACTCTGGATTCATTAACAAGGAGTTTGTTTTGGTCTTGGCACCCATCCACTGCCATGACTGCTGACATGAAGTCCCAACACACAGTGAAAACATCGGCCATAAAGCTGTTGGAGGGGTTGAGGTAATTCTGTGTTTGACCAACTTTGTCAGACGCACGCTGCTCACTCATCTTCCATTAACACTGAATACCCGCGTTGACTTTCAATTAATTATACAAACCCAGCAGCAAAACTCTTTGTTTCTTAATTTCTTCACTTTACCTTTATCCCATACGCTCCTAATTCTTTCGATCTCCAGCTAAGTCATGGGACTTACTGTGTTATTGCTTTCTTATTAACAGCCCCCACCAACTGATGTTCATCCTGTAGTAGATAAGTATCTCCCTTTCCTGGAATACGTTAGCTTCTCTTGCCACATTAAATCACTTAAACGCATCAGATACAGAGCTGGGAGAAAGGACTTTTCACAAGGCAGTGTTTGGAGATTGATGGGCAAGAACAACTTCTACCGACTTATCCGCAGATTAGACTACACGTTGCCTGTGAAGCTCCACACCGGCACCGAAGGAAAAGAGAAAAGTTTATCTACGGTACTCAAGACAGACCATCCTCTTAAACGAGTCCAAATGAGAAATGTCCTATGCAGAACAAAGGATTAAAGTGAAATTCACGTTCAGAATATACACCAGCATTTCCAAGTAATATTGGGTAAACACGAGTACGTGAAAGGCTGATTATAGCCTTTCCAAGCAGCACCATCTCATACTCAGCTTCTTTCTTCACAGCATATAAGGCCCTTTCATTTACCCTCAATCGCCCATAAAAACCACTAGAAAAGCACACTGAGCAAAGCAAATAGAAAAGCATAACCACACTGCAAGTGTAAACAGCAGGCGGCCAGTGGGCAGTCCTCAACGGCAGCCCTCTCAGATCCGCGAGCCAACCAAAACACGTTTGGCTTTCTCAGGCTTTGTGTTTACTTTTCTGGAAATTAATCAGGTCACCTCTTCTCTGGCAGTGCCCTGCCTGTAGGACGAAGTGAGAGCCCACTGAGAGATACACAAAGCACCGGTTCTTAGAAAGGCGGGAGATTTCTGACAAAAGCGGGGTGAAAGATCAGCAGTGCGAACGCTCGTGGGGACCAAGTGATGCTCAGTTGTCCTTCCTCATGGTCTTCTGCCCTCCCTTTTCCCTACAGTCACAACGGGCGAGTTTTCCATTTGCTGACCGATTTCAGCACAGCTGGCAAACAATTTTATATAGCATTCAGCGTACTTTTCTTCTACCCTTTTAAACATGGTCTTAACAAATCATTAATCGTTTAATCTGTCAGCAGGGAGCACACGGTTGAAGTCAGACTAGTTTCAGTCATAACTGTATTTGCACATTGGGAAAAGGCGTGCACGCGCGCACACACACACACACACAATTATTTGCCTACAGCATTTTCTGGCCCCGCAATATTTTGATGGCACATCAAAAATAGGTCAAAGTAGGGTCTCTGGCATCAGGTGGAGAAAAAAAAAAAACTATTCATCTGAATTGTTGACGGTAAAGGCATTTTTCAAACTCATACTTTTAAGTTCTCCCTCTGAAGTGGGAGAATACATTGACCAAACTTATTTTTGGTTTCTTGAACTACAAAAATCCAGTAACACTGCCCCATCCACCCGTGAACTCCCAAAGTTTTTCCAGCTATTTCCAGTGATTGAAATTCTTTGCAGATGGAGGCACACTCCTCAAGCCCCGTTTCTCTAAGATCCTGAGCAGATTCCCAGCAGCATCAGGGATGCTTGGCTCCCATTGTTAATCTCTGGAGATCACTGTACGACAAAAGGGCAGATGCTACCTCCAGCACTGGGTGGTAGCTGACGGCAACTCAAAGACCTTTAGAAGTTTCTTTGAGCAGGCTGTGGTGTCCCAAAACACCAGTCACAGCGGTCTGAAAGCCTTCACAGGGAGAACGTGGGTTAAACACTAGGGAAAATTTGATGCTTTTATGACATTAAGGTAATGGAAGAACCTGCTGAGGCAGGCTGTGGAATTACCATCACTGGAGATGTGTCCAGGGCTGGGCCAGACGCTAGTTTATGAATAATGGAACCAGTCCTGAAACTATGCAGCGGATGGACTTGATGACCCATTAGTGGCCCTTTCCAACCAAAACAGTCCAATGATCTAAAGCATCGCTCACTCTGGAATGAAACTGTTCCAGGAAACCTCTTGAGAAAAAATTACTTTAGAGGAAATTTGCTACAACTCTTACACTGTAAGGAAAATTAAAATAAAAACTGAACAAGAAAAAAAAAAAAAGGTAATAATAAAGGTAGGTATCAGGAGCTAGACTCACCATGTATTCCATATTAGAGGCCACTGGGTACACCTGGCCTCTCAGTTTATTGTGGAGCATCAGTATCTCCTGTCTGTCTGAGAATAAAATTGCTCTCTTGGATCTGGAGTGAGTTTCCCCATCCTGATATTTACTCAGAATGTTCTCCAAGTGACTCGAGTTGGGCAAGATAAAGCATTCAGCTGCCTTTGTCAGGAGCAGAACACATCCAAAAGGAAGGATCCAAGGCAGGGCAGGATTCATGCCGCCTCCTCCTCGGCCAGCAGAAGCGGAGACGAAGACGACTGTAGGTTTTCTTGCAGGGTCTCCTGTGGCTCAGCGCGGGTCTGGATTTTGGGGAGAAACAGGCAGTTGGGTTAGTGCCAGAGAAGCTCTCAGTGAGCGTGTCCCCCAACAGCAAAGCCGCACGACCCAGATTTTTTGCTTGGAAAAGAGCGGTGCCTACAGCCTAAGCAATTATCCTTCACTCCAATGACAGGAAGACCTGAACATCACCCTAAGTGATGGGAACTCAGTTTACTACACCAGGGACCTCCACTGACGTTGCGTTGGGAGCGAGCGTTACCCAGGCACAGCGGCGGATGCCTTCTCCTCCAAAAATGCCAGTGTCATCCAGCAATGCCCAGCAGCTCTGAATAATCCCAGCTCCATCCCTTCGCACGCAGGAAGGGGAGACATTTGAAGCTATTCGCCCAAAGAGCATCTGGTAAAGCGGAGAACAGATAGGAATAAAAGGGAAAGTAAAATTCCCAGCAAGCTGGATCGCAGAGGTCAGACATCAGCAAGAGCTATTTTGGAGGCCCCCGCTCTGCCAATAGACTCCAGCAGAGCAGCTGCCAGACTCCGTGAAAGCAGCTGTTTATTGGAAATGTCAGCGTACCGTCGAACAACCAAAATCCCCGCTGGTGAATGACGCACCGGGGTGTTCTCGCTGACGCGTCGCTGTACGGCGCGCGGGAGCGCGGCCAGCGATAGGAATTATGACGGATTAGGAGAGGAGCCGGAGCACCCATCCTCCCCCAGCCAGATCAGGTGTTCCCCTGCACGCTCAGTAGCCATCGGCACTGAGGGCTTGGAGACATGATCTTGATTTGGTCATTGCTGGGTTTGAACGGCTTCAGTTAATCCCCAATCCCCTCCCCTGCTCCATGGCGCTCCCCTTCCACCTGCCACTTCCAAACTCTTCCTCCCTTCCTCTCCCCGCGGCCCTGACTTCTCCATCTAATGAGCCTTGCATGTCTTGGCTGATTTTATTTAGATCGTGAGCTATCCAGGGAAGGAAATAGGTGCTGCTGCATGGCTCCGCAGCACCTAGAGCTCTGCAGGTGGGGTCTAAGAGCCACTAAGAGCAGAATAATCCATTGGGGCAATCAACATCGTGCAAACACAGCATCCTCTCTCCTTAGGGCTAAACTTTGGAAGAAAGCTTCCTCATCTGTCTTCACCACCCGGCAAGGATCTGGTTTTGACAGCGTTGTTAAAAGACACGCTGAAAGCGTTCTTACACAGCGTCAGGAAACAAACCCCAGGTTAGCGGGGATTATCCGAGAAGATTCAGACCAGTGACGTGGGGTTTGGGCACACCGAGACTGGATAAACTGGAAACCACCCAAAGCAGGAAGCTCCCAGCTGGAAAAGCTACACTTGAGCACAAAGTCCCCAAACCCTGTTCCCCAGAGCCAGCACAACAGCGTCTGCAGAGGACAGCAGCAATCACAAGGTGCTTTGCACAGGTGAAGACCCTCCCCCCCCCAAAAAAAAATCTCTGAGGCCACTGAGAACCCCTGAAAACTTCTTTGCTCTCTACCCAAAAGAGACAAAGTCCCTGTTTGAGGCTTCTTCCTTGTACTGTATTAAGGCAGATGAAAACCATCTGCCCTCAGCCTCTCTCCAGGCAGAGCATTAAGCCTTTCCCTCAGTCGAACAATGCAGAAATGTAATTTGCTCAGTTTAAGTAGCAGCTTCTCATTATTCCCTGCTCTGCAGAGCAAGTCGAACACACACGCCTTGTCCCCAGCTCTAGACACACCTGAAAGACAGGACGTTTGGCGGCGGCGGGACAAATATTGCTTTAACCTCATCCTCTCCTCAGCCCTGTTTGTTGGCATTTGCTCCCCCCCCACCCCCAAAGTAGAAGCCCAACTTTCTAACCCAGCTAAAGAATGGTAGGGGATGCAAAACGGGCTGTTGCTTTTGTAGACTGTCTGACCTAAATTCAGGGAACAATTCCTACTTTGAGGCACTTCCCTAAGAGTTTAAAAATAGATGCTCTGCCACAGCCGTTTACAATGTGACCATTTAGCAGAGGCAATTTTAACTGCAGCCTGCCCTGTAGGTAGAGCAGGCAGGAACAGACAGCTAATATACACTGCAGTTGTACCCCTTCATTTGGCCGGGTGCCCTTTGCTAAATAGGAGACCGTATCCACCACCCATTTAAGGCAAACACTGAACTTACAGAAAGGGCAGCTTGAAAAAAAAAAAAAAAATCAGCTGTAACATCTGAAAGGCCAGAGGAGCTGCCCCACTCACGGCTACGCAACGAAGCCAACACGTCTGGCTTCGTGATCCAGCCAAAACCTTGCAACAGATGGCGCATTATTCCTCGGGATGTTCTGCCCTGTATCCCATTTGCGAGCGGGGGGATACTAGCACCTCTCTAAAATTAAGTCACTTTGGCAGTGTCGTCTTTTTTCACTTGGCGTGTGCAGGTCCCTTCCTCTGCTTTGGCTCGAGGTGGGGAGTGCTGAGCATCCAAAGGGAGGATGAAGTGATCAGAGGGGGACAGGGAGCAAAGAGCTCCCTGGCCAGATTAATTGAGAGCAGCAGAAAGATGCTGACATTTCAGCAAACGCTCATTGATTTCAGATGTCCATCCACTAATGTCCTCGTGCCCAGGTGCAACAAAACCCTCAGACATGTGCTAAAGCTCAGCCCAAGTGCCCTGCAGAGCTGGGGCGATGCCTCCGGGCTGCATCAGGAACTCCTCACCGGGGAAGATTGAAATCATATTGCCTTTGAGCTGGGATTTATTTGGAGAAAATTATCAGCTGACAGTCAGCTGAGGAAGTCTCTGCTGTTGTTTTCAAGGGTTCAAGAGGAGCATTAGAACAGCCTCCCTTTAAACACATCAGGCCCTTGATACTGGTGCCAGGTAAACATCTGGGAGCAATCAGAAACGAGTGAGTCAGCAGAAACCAACTCCTTAATATGCTGTAAAGCCTGTCCAAACTGGGGACAAAGGGGAGGCCTTCTTCTGGGGTCTGAGGAAGTTAAAAAGCAGCACCGGACTTTGGAAAAGATTATTTTTAGAAAGCTATTTCCCCAGCTAATGGATGGTGTCTGCATTTCACAGAAAGCAGAAGAGCTGGTAGCATTTGAAGCCTGGCATGCCACGCTGCCTGCTAAAGCCACATGCAGGCAGACTTCTGTACTTCATTATGTCCTCACTTCACCTTACTCCTTACAGCTATTGATCTTTAACACACAAGTGGGTGTCTACTCCTTGATTACGGATGACATTTGCAGCTAAAACAACCCAGGACCTGCAGAGTTATACATGGAACAAGCTGACAGGGCAGGAAAATGCAAGACTTAGCAGGGGATACCAGCAAAGCATCTGAAACAGCAGAGCAGAAAGAGCTTTTAACCTCTACAAAGACATTCAGTGCTAAAGCTACAACACACTTAATGCACTAAACACCAGGTCATCTCTTCAACCGAGATACACACGCTTCAAGCTTTGAAGAATCGTGTTGGCTTCACAAGGAAAGTGGGATGACAAGTTCCCTTGACACAGGACATAATGTTGTCTGCACAGAACACACTATGCATTCAGCCTCTTCGTGGGCCAAAACATCTGGCTCTTCCATCACAGTCCACTCCCACAGAAACTGAAGTGGGTGAGTTTCTACGCAAAACCACACGGAAAACCCACCGGTAACAGACACAACATGTGGCAACGCTGTGAAATTCCTTTTAGGCAGGACTTTAGAGCAGAGTTGCATAAACACAGGCTTCCTGGGGCAGACTAGGTGTGCCCATGGGTTGTCAGCTATTGGAGACTGCTACAGCATCCCGTGGATATTTTCTGTTTGTGTAGAAATCCACTCTTGCGCTTGCAAACTCCTCCCATTCATTCAAGATTAACGTTTATTAATCTCGCATTAAGCTCTGCAAAGCATCCCTAAGGGAAACTCAGACAGCATTGCGCTATTTTATACCATTCAGGCAACTTTTTGGAGAAGTTACTAAAATTGTGCCTTCTTAATAGAGAAGTTTCTTGCACACACCCCCAACCCCTCAAACCACAGTTCAGAAGCAGGGACCAAAAGCTTACACTTACCTCGTCGAGTATTTCCTGGGGACTTGGGATTTGTAGCTCCTCCAAGCCTGCTTGTGGAAAATAAATTATATATCTGAAATATTTAAACGAGGAGGAGGGGGGGAAAGGATGAAATAAGCCTTAGGAGGTGCGAGGAATGCAAGGTCTCTCAGCTCAGCAGCTCCTACCAACTGCAGTCTCACAGAGCTCCCCAGTGGTATTTATGCTCTCCAGGCAAAAAGGACAACCCTGGATCATCCTGTTTGGCAAGGGGCCTGTAGTTATAACAAAAAAAAAAAAAAAAAAAAAAAAAAAAGACTGGGGGGGGGGACGACCAACACGAAAAGGAGGCAGGAGCAAGGAGGAGAGGGGTGTCGCTTGGGAGCTCAGCAGTTTGAAGATAGTCATTGGGACTTAGAAAATTAGGACCATCCTCCCAAAGGCTGTAACGCAACACCCAGGGAGGGGGAGAGGAGGAGGAGGAGTGCAAGCAGACGATCGTATAAAAGGTTTTGCTTTGCTTGCCCCCGCAGTCAGCTCTCGGGCAGAGCTCGCAGCCCGGCGGGGTCCCAGGGCCACAGGAGCATCCTCCCTGCTGCCAAGGGGGCACCGCCACGCCTCAGCGAGGGGCTCTGGAGATGAGGGAGGGAAAATTCAAGAAAGGGGGTTTTCTGCAAGAGGCTAAAGCCAGCTGTCTCCTCTCAGCTGCCAGGCCAGCCGTTTCCAGCTCTCCCCCAGGAAAATCCCACAGCGTGTCCCGCTGCTCCGGGGCTGAGACAGCTGTGCCGGACCCCGCGGCAGAGCGGGGTCCCCAGCTCCGGCAGGGGTTGCTGAGCTGGCTTCCAGCTGCGGTCCAGCCTCCGGCAAAGCCCGCAGAATCCCCCTTTTTTGTTCCAGAGCTGGGCATTTGCTGGGAAACAGGAGATTTATCGCTCTGCCATTTGTTCCCAAAGCTCTCCCAGCGCCGACATCCCCCAACTACATGCACGGTCCAGCCCTGCCGCTCTGGCGCCACAGCGGGAATTACAGAGAATAAAGAAAATCAAAAGTTAGTGAGACATCTCGGCAAGGCTCACCTCCTCCGCTGCACCGCTGATGCCCCAAAAGCCCCAGCTTTTGCATGAGTCCACTGTTGAAACACGGGTTTATTGCCTGTGAAAGGAAACGATTGAGCAAAAGACAAGCTGAAAGTTCTTTTTTTTTTTTTCTTCTTTTTTTTTTTTTTTTAAG